CCCTCTTGTTAAGTCTTCAAATTTACATACAATCAAATATTAGACACTATGTTGGACTGCTCCATAAATCCTATACTAATAGAAGAATTTTCTTCAAACTTTACTCAAATGTTCACCTCAACAAGGTTATGTTCAGAACCCATGTTACCTTTGTGCTGGCTTAAGGTCAAGGTCACACTTGAAGGTCAAAAATTGTCTTAGAAAATGTTCTTAAATTTTAACATGTACTTGACTATTTCTAAAACTAGAACAGATAATCATCTGAAACTTCAAAAATATATGAAGTGTCGCAAGTAAAATATGCAGGTCAAGTTTCATAACAAAAAAAAAGTGTGGGGGGGGGGGACAACTTTGTATCGATATATCACTAATGAATTATCGTCGATACAGCAATGTATTGATTGCCAGGCAAAATTAAGCTTTCAAGTCTTTTTAGCTCACCTGTCACTTTGTGACAGGGTGAGCTTTTGTGATCGCTTTTTGTCCGGCTTCTCTCCGTCCGTCCGTCGTCCGTAAACTTTTACTTAAAATGACATCTCCTCATAAACCACTGAGCCAATTTCATCCAAACTTCACAGGAATGTTCCTTTGGTGGTCACCTTTGAAAATTGTTCAAAGAGTTTAATTCCATGAAGAACTCTGGTTGCCATTGCAACCAAAAGAAAAAACTTTAAATATCGTCTTCTAAAATACCAAAAGAGCTAGAGCTTAGATATTTGGCATGAAACATCTTCTAGTGAGTGTCTACCAAGTTTGTTCAAATAAAAGCCCTGGGATCAAAATTGGCCCCGCCCCAGGGGGTCATTGATTTTCCCTATATGTATATAGTAAAAACTTTAAAAATCTTCTTTTAAAGAACCCAAAGAGCTAGAGCTAAGATATTTAGCATGAAACATCTTCTAATGGGTGTCTACCAAGTTTGTTCAAATAAAAGCCCTTGGGTCAAAATTGGCCCCGCCCCAGGGTGTCATTGATTATTCCTATATGTATATAGTAAAAACTTAAAAATCTTCTTTTAAAGAACCCAAAGGGCTAGAGCTAAGATATTTAGCATGAAACATGTTCTAATGGATGTCTACCAAGTTTGTTCAAATAAGAGCCCTGGGGTCGAAATTGGCCCCGCCCCAGGGGGTCATTGATTTTCCCTATATGAATATAGTAAAAACTTAAAAATCTTCTTTTTAATAACCCAAAGAGCTAGAGCTAAGATATTTAGCATGAAACATGTTCTAATGGATGTCTACCAAGTTTGTTCAACTAAGAGCCCTGGGGTCAAAATTGGCCCCGCCCCGGGTGACATTGATTTTCCTTATATGTGTATAGCAAAACTTAAAAATCTTCTTGGAAATAACCCGAATAGCTAGAGTTTAGATAATTAAGCATGAAACATCTTCTAGTAAGTGTCTACAAAGATTGTTCAAATAAAAGCCCTGGGGTCAAAACTGGCCCTGCCCCAGGAGTGTCATTGTTTTTAAATACTAGTTTAAATACTAAAGTATAAAGTGTAAAGAAAAAACCTTAAAAAATCTTTTTTTAAAAAACCCAACAAGCTTGACCTTAGATGTTTAGCATGAAACATCTTCTAATGGGTGTCTACCAAGTTTATTAAAATGAAAGCCCTGGGGTTTCAATTTGCCCTGCTCTGGGGGGCCTATATACAGGTGAGCGACTTCAGGGTCATCATGGCCCTCTTGTTTTCATTCAGATAACAAATTATGGTTTTTAAAAATTAAAAGAAACCCTACCTATTTCTAAAACATTATTTTTTCTACTTTTTTAAATATCAAACGACTTAACTGCAAATTCGTCAATTTATGGTTTGGTCTCAGATTTCACCAAAAAATGGTTGAAATTTGACACAGCGTAATGAAAAATCCTACAAGATAATTGATCCAATTTTATTTTCTTGTTATAGATATTTTTATGTTTAACTACAAAATACTAACATGGGACAAATTTAATTAACATATAACGTTCATTTACGGGACAAAAAATGTACATCACGTTTGCATTCCGCCATTTTATTTTTCGGATTTTTGTCACAGTTCATAAAATTGGAACTCGTAAAATTTCATTTTATCTCACTAAAATTCCATAATCTTAACGTTAAACCAAAGATATTTAAAGGATCTATCAAAATATTCTGTCAGTTTTCTTGTAATTTACTTATTTAAACAAAGTTTTGCAGACAAAAATCACCCTTTCACGGCGATCAACACAAAACATCAGTTCGATTGAAATTTTTATTCTTTCAACAGACACAGTTTTTCACATTAGATACTTTATACACCATGTTAAAAATACATCGGATCAATGTCATGATACTTACAGAATTATTTCATTTACTTTCTGGGGACTTCAACCCCATTAAGTAAATATACCGATCGATTTTCTGACCGAACATTTCCTCCGCTTTGAACTAAAATTGTAAAAATGGCGGCGCTGATTCCTGATTGGACGAAAACATAAGGAGCGATAATCTCTGTGTTTCCCGTCCCCGTATCGTATGTTCCAGCTTACATAAAGCTATAAACAGTTAATTAGTTACACCTTGAAAAAAATACGTAGGCTTATAGTTTAATTAAGATAAAAAAAATAATGTTTTCTAAGGAATAATTGTAATTAACTTTCTTAATCAAGAAGTTTTAATGGTTTGATTTATAAATTAAGGATTAACCTGCCTTTATTGTTTGTTACACCTTTAAAAACATTAACGTATATCTAAATGGTTCAAGAGATCAAAGATAATAAATAATTATTTAAAGAATTAAAGTGCCATAATTGTTTAATTGTAATTCAATTAATTGTTGTTAATTAATTTAATTAATTGTCTGTACTATATAGTAGGGCCGAAACGTCTCACGGAAAAGGGCCGAAACGTCCAGGGGCCGATTTTTCCACTGGGGCCGGTTTGGTTTGGGGCCGAAACGTCCTGTTTGCGTCCTATAAATATGACGTATTTGAGATATTTTTGCTTCTGGGCAAGGCAACGTCATATCGAAATTGCTCAAAAACCCATAGCATGTTCCGCCAGAAAATCGGGCGGAACGAAAAACAATTAAGACAGCGTGTATTTACATTTGTTTTGACCTGATTTATGAACAAAACAAAACTAAAACATAATTTATACTTTTTGCCAAAATAATTAAACTGTCACATCCGAAAAATCATGATTAAATCCTCTTATTTATTTAAATTACATCTACAGTCGATAAACAAATGGCTGTCACACAGTGCGCTAAATTTGATTGGCTAATTCAAATGCAAGCGTTTAAATGAGTCAAAAGTCTCAAATGAAATATTTTTTAACGAAATATTTGCCCATACACCGCCAGCGAGTATGAATATATTCTTCCTTTCAAAAATTTGGAACAAATCTGTAAAACGATGACTTAACCTGGATGGCAAAAATAGATTGATGTTTATATTTCATTTTCGGTTGATAACTACATTATTTGAGAGTTTTTGTTAATGATTGAGCAGGACATTGAAAGAAAATTTGATAAACTTTTGAACAAAGCTTGAAAGGCATTTTTTTATTTCTTTAAAATGGTATGCGTCCGTGAGCAATTACTATTAGACGTTGGGCTTGACCTATAACAAGCTCATTATCATAACGTCTGATATGTTCTTTTGAATATCATGTGCTAGTCCAATATACATTACGGGCTTGTTATAGATCAAAAGAATCACCAGTGACAATGTACAAAACTTTGAAAACTTGTTCATTTAGTTAATAAAAGTCTAAAGAAATTTAATTTGATTGATAAGGTGAAAACTGTACTGATCTACCTATAAATATAAGCTGTACTAGAACTAAATGTCATTACAAACAAGTGTGTTTAGATATCATGTAACATAAGGCCAATGACACCACTAACGCATGCAGCTTCAAACATTAAGTTTGCCGAAAAGATTTCATTTACATTGTACACCAACGATACTTGACATGCCCAGTATACAATTAATTTCTATTAACACTATAAAAATAAGTTTGCTAAAACCGCAACCTTATTTATAATACAAAATAAGTTCGCTGAACCGGTAGTTTGACAAAACCACTTGAAACACACAATGAAATTACTTGAACACACTAAACCAGTTATAAATAGTCCGTCTAAATATGCCACCGAAAAACCAAAAAGAGCTACCTTAAATAGATTTTACTATAAAAGTCATCAGTTACTGTAGCTCGCATGGTAAACGTCATCAGTTTCTGCAGCGGGTACTTGCCAATAGCATGCACAGCAGATATCAATTATATGTCTGGTAAATTCTGCTATTTAACTGCACATTTTGCGAGCATGTGTGCTTAAATTACGATTTTTTTGCATCTACCATATCAGAAATCGGTTTGGTTTGGAAAAAGATAACAATTTTTGGGAAATTTCAAGATTTTTAGGGAAAATTTTACATTTTTTTGTCATTTGGGAAGACACACTGATATTCGGTGTCAAAATTAGGTAAAAAAATCACTGACTGACTTTTCAGCAAACATTGTCAACTGAGATTGTTCAACACAGAAGTCTGGATATTTCTCTCTTTTGATATCTACAATTTGAAAGACTTTCCTTTAACTTTTATGTATAGCCTGAATTTAGAAGAAAGTAGTCTGGCAAGACACAAGTGATAATACAGAAAGTATGTTTCATTGCAGTAAAAAATAAATTGTTATAGTTGAAATACGGAAAATGAAAATACACATTTTATTTCATCAATATTTCTCAATTTTTCATTTATAAGTGTATAATGAATATGTATGTATACATGTATATATTCTATCTTTAAACTCCTTTTCAGTTTTAGAGATATCTGTTTTATTTTGTTTTACAGGTTTGTTCATTCTGAAGGATATTTTTTTTTTATAAATTGGCACAATGACTGAACAGCAACAAAAATTTGACGTAGAAAGTTTCCGAAATCCCAACGAGAGTAACACAGAATGGAAAATGAGGAAACGTTTTCTTCAAGTTCACCATGACAAACTTGATGAAGACAGACTAGTTTGTCTCGCCAATTGTTACGTCAATTTCAAAGTCTATGGTTGTGAGTAAGTACAATGAAAACGTTTTTTTCCCTTCTAATTCTCATTTTAATATCTTACTAGGTGCAGGGCACATATCAGAATTTAGATATGGTTATTCTATATCTTCAATAACTTTAACAAGTTTAAAGCTATGATGCTGAAACTCGAGGTATTATTCCTGTCTCCGCCTCCATCCTCATGGACACTATAATCTTGCCTTCGGGTTAGAAATAACGAGTCATGCAAGCAGTTTAACCTTTAATGTGGTTGTTTCCCCAACAATCATATGGTAAAAGAACTGTGTGGGGCTATAAGACTAAATTTTGCCATTGAAATATCGTGAAAAATTGCGGAGCGCAAAACGTTACTAAAACCAGAAAATTTCAAAAAGACATCTAACTACCAAAAAGAAAAATATACAACACCAAGAACATAATTATAAAACTTTGGGACCCTAAAGGGAATACTTAGATTGTAAACTTAATGCTTAAAGTTCTGATTACAATACAGACACAATAATGACTGTTCCTAAATGTTCTGAAATATGTATAAAAACGCTACCCTACCCCACCCTTTTTAGCACTAGTTTGATCATATTCCTACTTGCAGAGCCATATTTAAAGTATCGCAAAAAAAATGACCAAAGTAAGGGTCAGTTTTCAATGTCTGCCTAAATTTTCTTTATATTGGGAGATCTTGTCAAATATTAAATTATACAATGTATGTATCTTGATAGTTTAGCTTTGATTTTATTAGAATTTGAAAATATCGGGTACCATAATTAAGCATTATTCAGTCAATAAATACATATAATAATAATTATATAATTAAAATGAAAGTTAACACTTTTTTCTTCCAAAAGGAATCTGAGAGATTCGTCATAAACGATGTTAAAAGAAAAGAAAAAAAAGTTTTAAATACATTTCTAGGGTTAAAAGTTAAAACCATGACTCTCAGTTTCAATGCAGATGATAGTTATTCTAGTGTATTTGAGCACTTATCAAACTGGAGGTAAAGCATTAGGGGGGCGGATATACCCATTAATGCACATCATCACTTTAGTAGTGCAGTAAGTGGTTAACTCCTATGAAATATAGGAGGATTTAACCTATTACTGCACTAAGGTGACAACATATTCACAAATTTTAAAATACATGTACATTTAGCATAAAAACCAACTCTCAGTAACAGTCTGTGGTATCTGTATGGTTCCAGATAATTGAATATCTGTGCTTGGTCACCAAGCATTTATACCCCATTGTGAACTTTAAAAATTCCATGCACTTGTTTTAATGTTGTGGCCCAATGGCAGCTAAGGCTCCCACATTTACAATTTTTTGTAAACGTTTACACGTTTGCTAAGAACTGAAGTGATACTGTTTAAAGGGTGTTACTTCTATGACTATACTACACCATGTATTCTAGTCGCTAAATGATGAATTACTTTCTATTTTATATACATGACTTGTACAAGCAAATAATGTTCAGGGCTCATTACGATTGATGCGGCACACATTTTATGATAATAATCCATGATTACAGGCAATGATTAAGATTATTTGTAAGACAATATGGTCATTTCGATAAAACAGTAAAAAAAATATCGTAACCGTTTATGAATGAAAATCATAAATTAACAAATCTGTTTAAACATGTAACCGTGGGGGCCTTACAGGCAGCTGTTAGTTTATGTTTAGAATAAACTTAATGTTAACTTTTCTGTTCCAGGTACCCCTATCAGACAATGATGGAGTTGAAGGAATTGATGCAACAACTTTAAATTTACCTATAAATCCTTTCTGTATATATTGTAAATAGGTGAGTAGCATATGAGCCGTATCATGACAAAATCAACGTTTGCGACCAGCATGGATCCAGACCAGCCTGCGCCTCCGCGCAGTCTGATCAGGATCCATGCTGTTCTCTTACCAACTCTATTACAAGTAGAAAAACTGATAGGGAACAGCATGGATCCTGATCAGACTGTGCGGATGCGCAGGCTGGTCTGGATCCATGCTGGTCACAAACCCACTATGTTGGTTTTGTCATGACACGGCTCATATGTATTACTTTGTTTTTCCAGAATAATCATTTTTATTGTGCAAAATAAGCTAAAAAAATGAAAAAGAAAATTGCAATTTATATCTACTCAAATTCTGGGCTAAGAATAGCACATATAAATTATAAAATATATATTTTTTATCATTCTTTATCAGATTTTTCATTTTAAGTGCTTCACTTGATATACATAGTTTTTTTTTTCTTTATATAACTAATACATGCAATACCCTAAAAAGGTACTGTTCCCAATAGAAAATAAACATTAAAATTCCCAATTTCAATGTTTAAATTCCCAAAATGGCTGTTCAAAATTTCCAAAAGCCAATAGATTTATCTAAAATCATTATAATCCAAGATATTCATATATATCACCACTCAATAGTTCATACTCATACTCCTGGACAGTGGAAGCTTTATTCATGATGACTAATCTTATTTGTAGCTGAAAGCATAATAAAAATTCCCAACTTAAGTCAAAATAACGCATTTTTTCCAATCAGTCAGGTACGGCACCATTCCCAAAGTATTGGAAAAAAACAACTGACATAATTATGTAACAATATCAAATTTTATGTTTTTTTAGACTTTTTGACCACAGTTGAACTCCTGTAACATTTACTAAGCTTAATAATCAAAGGCAGTAAGACTTCAAACCACTTGCCCCCATCACTATGGGTTCGAATCCCGACAGGGAAGCTATCCAGCTAGCTTACGGCATGTCAGTGGTTCTACTCTGGTGCCCATTTGTGCCTGAAATAATGTACAAAAGGGCACCTGAGGTCTTCCTCCACCAGTAAATCTGGAACATCGCCATATGATCTATACTGTGTCAATGTGACATAAAACCCAATCAAACAAACAAATCAAAGGCAGTAACTTTTAGTGCATCTTTCATAGAGAATTGACTGTATTTGTTCATTTGCTAAATAATAAATTTTATGTAAAACTGGGTTGAAAATTCTGCATATAAAACACCAGTATTTAACTTTGCTTCTCATTTTAAGAAAAGAGTTCCAAGTTTTTCTCTATACTTCTAAAATCCACTCATCAAGTTGTAAGTTTATATGGGTAAGGTGTAATCTGTAAGGTGTAGGTCTCATAATAACACTTGTTTGCATATATTTTATTACTGAGTTTTCATATCTGTATGGTAATATATTTTCAGATTGTCAAAATGAACTATTATGAACAATTTTATGATGACCTAGAATTCTGTGACCCTGATGATGATCCTTATCTGAGAAGAGGTCAACGGTACTATAGTGATGATCGTTATCAACAAGATGACCTCTATCGCCATGGTGATCCATATTACCATGGCGACCCATATTACCATGATGACCTACGTGCTTCGGAAGCTTCTTCTCATTATAGAGAATACAGTCAGTATGAAACTGAGAGAAATAACATGAACCGGGGCCGCCCAGACAGACGGGCTCCAGATAATAGAGGTAGAGGTCATGGGCCTTCAAGGGGATATGATAGGTCATTCAGAGGTCGTGGAAGAGGTCAAAGTCAGGATCAGTTGAGAGAAACTTTGGGTAACAGTAGAGTTAATGAAAATGAAAGGATAAGCAATGATCATTGGAGAGGAAGAGCTAGGGGAAACATGTGGCGCGGAAATACTCGTGGAGGAATAAAAGGTGTAAACTTTGTAAAAGCAGGGTCTAATAAATCTGCAGCAACATCTGATGGTTCATCAAAGCCTGAAGATAATAAAAAGGCAAGTGAAAGTGATCAAATTAGGTTTGATTATAGAACTTACCAGAACAAACCTTCCGAGTCAGAGACGGAGGTAGAGCAGGCTATGGAGGCCTACACGTGTCAACTTGGGTACGGCTATGGGTATGGTCCAAGGAATGATCTTGTAGAAGGGGACCAGCCAGAATGGTTGATAAGTTCAGAATCTGGGAACCAGCAAGCCTGTCAGGTGACTGAAAGTATAATGCAGCAAGAAAGTGGGCCTGAAACTGAACCAAAGCCTGGGACAGATGTTAAGAAAGCTATGGTTAGTCCTGCTTTAAACTTTGTGAAAGCAAAAACTGAATTTCATAGTATAGATGTGGCCTTTCATGAAATGCAAGACCAAAAGCCTAAACCAAACTCTTTAAGTGTTAACTTTGGGAATAAAAGGGTAGGTCTGGGTTTTGGTGTTAGTACAAACAGTGCCGCTGCATCAAGTGGCAATATATCAGCGGAGTACCATGCTGGCGCGAAAAATGGCTGTAACCCTAGAGTAGACGCTAAATTCATGAATTTACAAAAAGCTATAAAATCAAGAATGTTACCAAATAAAAACGCTATAGAAGTCACCCACATGGCCGTGGATAAAGTAAAAATGAAGATAAGTGATGAAGTAGGTATAGGTAAGAGAACACCAAGTGGACAGGCAATGTTTTTGTGTCGTCTGGAGATAGATGGTGTGCTTATATCCCAAGGTCAAGCTACTACCAAAAAGGCTGCCAAGCATGAAGCATATCAAAATGGTCTAAAGGTTTTCAACCATGACACTTTGACTGTGAAAGAGATTTCTCTAGGTGTTTTTGAGTTAAGGCAGAAAGAACCAGAGTTTAAAGTTCCTTTTGTTGCTGGAAAGTCTGGAAATTTAGGTGCTAAGGGTCAAGGTCAAAAACCACAATATACCACCAGTCAGAACGAGGGGAAATCAGTAGCACAGTCTACTAGTGTATGTGGACAAACAGCACAGTCTGAGAATTCTATGTCTCAATCTACTCCTGAATCTAGGCAGGCTAATCTTTCATCCTATAGTAAACCAAAGATCGTATTTCACCAACCGAATCATCCATTAAACAATAAACCTCTGGCATTCAGGAAAAGCGATTCATCCTGGACTGGGTCACAGTTTCAGCAGTCTGGGTCAAATACGCCAGAAGCTTTAGCAACAAAACTGCTTAATTTTGTAAAAGAAAACGCTGATACAGACAGACAGACACAAAGCTGCACATCTGATCTGAGTGACAGTCTAAATAAAAATCGTGATGCTTACAATATTAACAGGAACAATTCACCAATGCAAAACTTGAGGAAAAGATCTGCAGGTGGAAATGTTAGTGAAGGAAGATTAAAAGTGCAGAAGAAAGGTAACGGAAATGTGAATCATTCCATAGATGATCTGTCTCAGTTTATATTGATAGATAGTACACCATTGAATAACACTGTGAATGAGCTTTCTGTGTTACACAACAGTGCAAATTTCAACAGAGTCGTCCTGAAGTTGGAATATGAAAATGATGGTGACGGTGTTCAGTGTAGTTTGTTGTTGTCAGATATAGTGGTTGCTATGGCACACGGACCTACTAAAGATGAGGCAAAACAGCTTGCTGTGACAGATTCGTTGAAAAATTTAAAAGAATGTTGTTACACCATAAAGATAAAGCAAGCTGTTGATTCGGACGCAAGTGGATTCACAAAGGAACAGTTGCTAAGTGATATTCAACAATCGGGAGAGAATGTGGGCGGGGTTATACCAGACAGCAACATTGGAAATATGCTATTGCGTAAGATGGGATGGGTCGGAGGAGGGTGTGGCAAAGATGGGCGAGGTATCTCAGAGCCTGTAAAGGCAGAAATGATCATTGGAAGAGAGGGTCTTGGCTTAAGTGCCGAGAGAGGTATTGGGAAAAACTTTCATGAAAGAGTGACAAAAATGTTACAAGATTATATTAGATCAGACGAACAAAAAGACTTGCATTTTTCCTCAGAACTTCAAAAAGAAGAACGGGCCATTATTCATAAAATAGGTCAAAAACTTGGGCTTAAGACAAACAGTAAAGGTAAAAATGAGAATCGATACCTGATTGTTAGTCGGAAACGGAGTGCTCAAGAGTTACTGGAGCATGTCCGGGAAAGTGGCGGTTCTACTAGTAAATATGAGCTTATACCGCCTGAGGATCCGGATTATGATATAACTAGGCCCGAGGATATTGTGCATGGTCATTCTAAACAATAGACTTGTTACAGAGAATCAGATTGTCGCCTATATTTTTTTTGGATGTTTTTATTTTATATTACTGGTTTCATCATCATTTGAGCTTACAATTGTCTGTGTCATTGTATGATTTTTAGCTTATATTTGTACTAATGGTGGAGTTATGCTGTCTGATTTGTATATACAATGTACATGAATGTCATACTTTTGATTCATTTTTGTTGTTACCAACCCAATTTTTCATAGAACCTGTAAGGTACTGGGTTGAAACTTCGAAAAGTTTTTTGTATCAATCACCTCCGTAGTCTGTCATTGAATCCACATTTCATATCACTAATGAATTAATAAGAAGTACTTTAAAAAGATAAACAGACTGGGTAAACCTGCTTTTTCTCACATGCTTTTCTGATATCGTGGACATTATTTTAGCCCGGATTTCAGTTTGCAATTTTAAAATAACCAATGAAAATCTTTCTTATATTCAGTTCTTACCTGTGAATCTTAAAGGAAGTCAAACTGATCTGCGACTGACTTCGTCCAAAAAAATTAAAAGCATTTTGAGATAAAGCTATTGAATCTTTGAATACTTCTTTATTATGTTTAAACCCTTTTCAAGGAAAAGCATATCTTTAGTGGATTGGTATTGGACTTAATTTTGACTAACAGATTACTAGATCCTCCACTGACATATTGATGTCATATGTTAAAATGAGGTTGATATAAAAAGCACACTTGTCTGTTATCATACCATTGAATTTGTAAGTCAAGGGCTGGGACTAAAGTTTATCGTGAAAATGATGGCCCTATTTTAATAATCATGATGCATTGAAATGCAATTTTGTTGTGGTAGCCTTTTTATTGATAATTAACCATAATTAAATAGTAATTTCCGGCTGATAATTGGTCAGTATAATTTTTTGCAGGTTTCTGACCCAATCAGATACCCCAGATCTGAGTTTGAGTCTAGAAAAAAATCTTTCTAACCTTGGATCCAGATTGTCATCATCTGTTATATATCAAAAAGGTGCATTAAAGATGCACACCTCCAGATTCATACTAATTTTTATGAAAATTCGAAAATGAATTTAAAAGTATAATATTGTGAATTTACCAAAAGAATGCAATTTACACATTATCAATTGTACTTACAACCCATGTTGATTACCATAAAGAGGTCAAAATATGCAAAAATAGCCCTTACTGCTTTAGTAACATAGTAGAAATACAAGTATAAATGCTGAAAAATCAGTCATAAATCACACATAACATGTAAACTATGACTAGAATTTTAAATCTTTACTTTTCCTAAAATATTAATACATTAATATTCTCAGGTTTGATTTTATTAAATATTTTTGATCATCTGGAGGCGTTCAGCTTTAATACTGTACAAAATTTTTGCTAATGAACTAAATTTTTCCCTTCATTGTCATGTACATTTAAGATATTGTCCAGGGGTAATAACTCTAGCATGCAGTCTTTTTGTACATGTTTAACTGTGATTGATTCAGTTTAAAGAATATTGGAGATAATATGGATGTGGGATGACAAATATCATATCACCATTACATTGATATTTGATAACTTACCTATATTTCACTTTCATACATATTGTACTCACCCTGGATAAGTTTTTGGGATCAAGTTGTTATCTCTAAACTACCTAAAGGAATGGGTTGAAACTTAGTAGGAGGTCTCTTTCCAAGGCCCATAACTCTGACATGGACTTTAAGAGAATAATGGCCTTTTTTTAACTTAGAAAATTTTACATTTTCCTTGTTTTTGGTTTACGTTCAAGCACTTAAAATAGTCAACATGCTATCACACTGAAAACTCTTCTTATTTAGCCAAAATTATCATCGTTTTTTCAAATCTGTATATAAAATCTAATAAACGATACAACAACATAGTTGATTGCAACCTCTAGGCACTTTGTAAAATTTCTGATAAGGATAATATGGACATGGCCTATATAAGAATTTTCTAACAAGGTCTATGTACACAACCACTGATCTTTATTTAGTTTTTAAAATTATAAACATTAACAAACATTAACAAATGAAAAAAGACCCACAACTCTAGCATTGGTTTCCACTGACTTACTCCCCTTTTGTGAAATTGCAGCTGTCTTCTAACTTCTCTCATTACCATTAATTCATTTAGCTGGAGAAATCATTTCTTGGAAAAAGAACTAGATTGTTTCTTTGAACAAGATTATTTCTTGGAACAAGAGTTATTTTTAGAACTATTTTGAGTTTATTTGTTACAAGTTATGAACTGTGTTTGTATTGTGATGTAAAGCATAAAAAGTCCTTTAATCAGATACATTTGTTAGTGATACATCTAGGTGTGCTTGTTTGAAACTTTTATTTAAATCCTGAATTATAAAAGTCAGTGTGAAATAATTAGTCATTGTAATTTTGAAAAAAAATTTACAACATGTACTTTGAATATTTGAAAATGAACTTAATTTTGAGACTTAATAAGCAGATTTTATCAATTAAAGTGAAGTAAAAGAGAAAGCAGTGTTTTTGTTTAATTTATTTTATAGAATAGGTAGTCTCCTATTACGTACATACAGGAACTTCAAGATTTTTTAGCTCACCTGAGTGTCAAAAAGTAACCTGTTGAGCTTTGGTGATCGTCCATTGTACAAAGTTTTACTTGAAACAACATCTCCTAATGAACGCTGAGCCAATTTAATTTAAACTTCACAGCAATGTTCCATTGATGGTCACTTATAAAAAATGGCAACCGAAAGAAAAAACTTAAAAAATCCTGTTTCAAAAAAACTAAAAAGCTAGAGCTTAGATCACAGGCACGAGTATTGTATAACTTATAGTATATTTTAATTTTATTATCAATCTGGTCATATATTTTCATCCCAGGTCCGATACTCGTGCCTGTGGCTTAGATATTTAGCACGAAACATCTAGGGGGTGTCTTCAAGTTTGTTCAAATAAAAGCCCTGGGGTCAAAATTGGTCCACCCCACGGGGCTCTTGATTTTCTTATATGTATATAGTAAAAACTTAAAAAAATCATCTTTTAAAGAGCTAGAGCTTAGATATTTAGGGTGAAACATCTTCTAGTGAGTTTCTACCAAGTTTGTTAAAATAAAAACCCTGGGGTCAAAATTTGCCCGGCCATGGGTAGTCATTGATTTTTCTTCAGAATTCGAACCCACAGCGGTGAGGGGCAAGCGGTTTGAAGAGGCATAGAGCTTAGACATTCGGTATATAGTACCATTAATAGGCCAAACTTGTTCAAATATTGCACCTTGTGTCAAAAAAGGCCTCACTCCAGGGGGTCATAGGTTTTCTTATATGTATTTATAGTAAAAATTAAAAAAGAACTTCTACTCGGATTTGAGGTTAGATACGTTGTGAAGTGGACCTCTTCCAAGATTGTCAAATTATAGTCCTTTGGTCAAAATTTGCCACGCTCCAGGGAGGGAGTCATTTATTTCATTTTCATTTAGTAAAAACTTAAAATTCTTTTTTTCTGAAGGTACAATTAAGGCTTAGAGACCTAGACCTAGAGCTTTCATATTTGGTATGTAACACTGACATCATCTAGTGGTTCTACAAAGATTGTTCAAATTTTGACCCTAGGGTCAAAGGGGCTCCGCCAGTGAGTTCATCAGTTTTACATGGAGTTATATAGGAAAATCTTAAAAATGTTGTCAAAGTCTACAAGGCCTAGAACCTTGATATGTGGTATGTAGCATCATCTAGTAGTCCTGTACAAAAATTGTTCAAATTAAGCTGTCCCATGTTTTCAAATTGTGCATATATGTAGGGTGAAAAGGGGATTCACTTCGACTTTTTGACCTATTTCACAGGTGAGCAATCCAGGGCCCTCTTGACTACATCGTCAAACATTTTCCTTCCATGTAGTGCTGGTTTATACCGTGTATCTTTATACTCATAATAAAGTCACCTTAATAATTTATTTTTCAACATTTAGCATCTGCACACCCTTATTTCCTTAGATTTTAAATACCATTGTCGAGTACAATTATTTGTGTTTTCATATTCCTGGACTAACCAGTACTGGCGCCACATAATGATTATTTCCCCAGCAGGATACATATCTAGAATATAATTGTGTACAGCTTCATACCACAAGTTTACCTTTCAACGAAACTGATCTACGTACATAAGTGTATAATGAATGATAACTTAGACATCGATTTTGTTTTAAAATTTTATTGTAATGAAATATATAGACTATGATAATTATATAAGCATTTATATATTAAATTACCGTAAACATATCATACTTGCAATTAGTTCATTATAATATATATAACAAAATATGTACAGTTTTATCTCCCTTTACAATATAATATGCAAAACAGTAATACAGCAATATCGTAATTCTAATATTTTCTAAAACTTGAAAAAATGGTTAAATCTCAAATTTCAGCTGACAGTTGTTTCCTGAGTATATACTAATCAGTACTGGTTGGTTCCAGGAACAGATTCGAGAGTATGTCTATAAGCTCATAGCTTCCTATACCATCAAACTAAATTAAATTCTGTATAAACCAACTATGGTAGATTGTTAAAAAATGTGAAAATATGAATAAACGGTAACAAAGATATAACATTGCTGTTATAAAATTATTACAGTAGTTTCATATGTATAAAACCATAGTTTTGTTTGTATAAAACAGTAGTATTATTTATATAAAAAACCTTCTTTATCTTTGAAATGTCAAAACGTAAACCAAAAGTAAACAATAATGACATTACTAGTATACGTCTTACATGGATGTTATGTACTTATATTGGCATTAATCTTGTAAAAAATATAAATATTTCAATAAATTGCGTTCAGTTTTGTTCTATCTCTAAAAATAGAAATAAGAAGACTGAAATGAAATGCGTTACCAAACAATAGCATACCAACTATCAAACTGTGCATTGATTCAAACATTTATATAGATAATAGAAATATATTTATGCAATATTTATTATAAAAATGACGCTTTTTGATGTCATAGTAACATAACAATATCCCATCCTTCTGGATGTATTTTATTGTGTTATCTGAATATATGTAACTTTCTATATAACATCTATACATAGGTAAGTAATATACATGTATATATAACATATACATAGGTAAGTAATATACATTTTCTGTTATTTTCTCTGAATATATGTACATATATATATAAATTACTACATTGTAGTTTAACAATGAGATACACAGTAACTCAAACACAATAAATGGTAAGAACTTATAATATATAACTATAAACATATGTATATATTTAAGCGGAAAACCCCATTAAATCTGACTAGAACATGGATAAGCATTATACATTAATATATTATGTACAAAAATATAGATCAACCTATTATCAAGAAACACATCTGAACAGTAAGGCCCCCACGATTTCACGTTTAAACGGATTCGTTTCGATTTTCATTCATAAACGTTTACGATATTGTTTACCGTTTAATCGAAATGACCATATTGTCTTACAAAATTTCTTAATCATTGCCTGTAATCATGGATTTTATCAATTCTAGTGGTTTATTCCAAAGTAAACAAACGGAAAATGGGTGTTTACAACCCTCCACACAGCATTACCGTGCAAAATTGCTCGTGACATAATACATTTTTGGTAAAAAATGGGGTTACAACGCAGAAAATGTGTGCTGACTCAATCGTCATGAGCCCTGCACATTCTTTATTTGTACATGTATTAAAAATTGAAAGCAAGACATCATTTGGCGACTTAAATACATGGTGTGTATAGTATATAGAGGTACCACCGTTTAAACGGTATCGTTTCGGTTCTTAGCAGTCGTGTAAACGTTTACAAAAAATTGTAAACGTGGGAGCCTTACTGAACAGAACTATTAATGATTTGTATTTTCTTGTATGTAAGATAAGTAAACTATGAAGAATTTTTAGATATACAGTCAATTGTAAATGATAACAACTCTAACAATATTGCAACCTTGATTTTACATACGTATTAACTAGTTATAAAGATTTTGACAGGTTATATGGCCCCATTTAAACGGTTGCTTTTTAATATAACCTGAGCCGCTAGGGCGAGGGTTATATTGCAAGCAACCGTTTATATACTGCCATATGTTACCTGTTCGAAATATTTATAACGAATTTATAATACAGCAAGCACCATTCTTAGAGGAATAAAGCGAGATTTCTTTATAAACCGACAACAGCCGTGAATATAAGACTAAATAAACGTCACAATTATCCAATGAAATGCGACGTTACAAAAGTGCAGTATGCCAATATTTAAGTAATCATCTGATGCAAGTGTATGATAAATTTTCTTTCTTATTGTCAAATAAAGAAGGCAGTTGTGTTATTTTATAAATTCCTTATAAAGACTTTTGAAAGTTAAAATGGACATGTATAAAATATTTCGCTAGACAGCCTGAAAGTTTTTTGTTATATTTACTTACATCTATTTTATCTAGGTTATATAACTTCTTTAATCAATATAACCAATGACATATTTTTTATCTTAATTATGGTATTACCAAAATATACCTTTGTTTTGTTTCCTATAGTTATATTGCCTTTCAAATTTCTTTTTTGTCATAATTGTAAGCATAAAAATAAAAAAGCAACAAACTTATACTTCGCAAAATTAAACTATTTTACAAAATTCAAACATAATATGCTTTCTTCAAGCGTAGTCGTTATATAGATATAGGTTTAATTATTTCATTTCTAAATCAGCGGAACATCAATTTTCCTGTATATCTTATTATAGAAAGTATTTATTTTAATCTTACTTCCTTTAAAGTGAATTGGTCTATAATGGAAGATCTGTAGTGCCAATGAAGTGTTTTAAAACAAAAAATTATAATTCATCATACATTGTGTTCATATTGATCATCATTTTGTTTATAAGAATATCCAAAAAGTCACATCTCTTACATTGTTATTATGGAAAATGTGCCCATTGTAGACCAATCCACTTTAATAACAAGTGTTTTTTTTACAAGCTTCATTTATGTTTTCTAAAGGTATTTACGTAGTTAACAAACAAAGTTTTCAGAAGGAACTCTTAAATATTTGACAGCGGCCTTGGTGAAAACCTTCATTTTAGATGTCAATTCTTCTTGAAGATATCATGTTTACTTGGTACAAACGATGCAGAAATAAATTCAAAATTGCTGGTCTGTTTTCCTTTCTGCCAGGAACTAGAAGATTGCACAAGGTATTGGTGATGCACTGTTTTTAAACAATTATCTTTTGGATATTTTTCAATAAAAACAAGAACCAGGTGTTAAGTCTTTATATTAAGCATAATCATCATTGTTACTGTAGATTAAAGTGGAGCTGATTTTCTGAAAAAAAAGAGAGAAAAAAGAATAAATAAGAAAAACGAAACATAACTTTCGTAACTGTGTAGATTAAAGGATTTATTCAGTATAATAATATATTTCATGTTTTTTTTCTCTTAAACACACACATTTAAGGTTAACCTAAGTAAATCCAAATATAAACTTCCGTAAGCCTGTAATTTTGATTATCGTAAGTAACTAAGTAATTTATTTATAATAGAGGCACGTGTAAACACTCTTTATGATACACCTTCCAAAGCCAGCTGAAATTAATATTCAAGCATTAACTGGTATCCGAGTAGAACCACAGACCTTCAGTAAGCCAACTGAATTTAATCATTTAGGCACGAGCTGACATCTAATCAGAACCACTGCTTTTTGACAACCAAAATGAATTCAATTATTTGACATAAATTGATATCTGTTGAAGAAGCACACGCTGAACTATGAATAAAAGGTATTAAACTCCGATGGTATTGAAACTCAGCTTACAGAACTTTATATTTTTTCAACAATTTCCATCAACATCTTCTGTTCATGAATTAGTTGAATGAAGAAAATGTCCTTTGTATGGAAACTGTCTTCGATATTCTATTTTACTATCTTCATTTGGATTTTATTGATCTGTCAATCATTAAGATAATTTAAGGCTTACCTTGTCAAGAAAGGAACATTATAATTTTGTTGCAAAATATATCTCCTCAAAATAATCTATAACTACACAAATCCTCCAGATTCTGCATCACAAAGATTTTGATCTAAGGCCGCTGAAAAGAGAAACAAGACATCAGATTAACGCATATCTTATTAATGGGTAAAAATTGCGGAACAATGTCTTTATTATTCTTATCTAGTAAAATGTTTGTGGACAAGAGGGTCATGACCCTTATATCACTCCCCTGATTATGAAGGCTCTTATAAACATGGAGCAAATTAATATTGCAAGTTATGAATAAAAAGCAGTTAAAGATTCCAATGGTAAACTGATCATAAAGTTCATATATGCATCTGAAATAGTCTACATCTAAAATAAGAGCCACTGCTCGGTGGGACTTGTAATACTCTGCATTATTCTTTCTTCTTTGGTCTAACACATTGAAGAAAGAATAATGCAGTTAAGAATACTCCTAGAAAACATAACTGTCTTGAACAAATTATCATTCAAATTTCATATTTGACCCTGATCGTCAAGGTCACATTTGAATTAATCATTGCCAGTTTTAAAATACAATGTAAGTGTTATTTTAGCCAAGAACTAATCCATAAATAAACATCACTATGTCATCTAAAGTAAATTTCAATAAATTGACCTGAAGGTCAATAAAAAGTCATTGTCATATCGGAATTATTAAACAGGTCGATTTTATCATATGCGTTCTTTGGTCTAAATTTAAATCAAATCTGCAATGAAGATCAAAAGTATGTCAATCTAAGTCAAGGTCATATTTGAATGACTTTTCATTTCAGTTTTGTTACAAGTGTTCTTTTGCCAAAGTATAAATCAAATCCATAAATAAATTACTGAAGAAATTGGACCACTAAAGACTGCTCAACAGTAGCTATGGAAGCAAGTGGTTGCCATTAAAGTCAAAAGTAGATTCATTTCTATTGAAAGTAAATGGTTGTTATGGAAGTCACTGGTTGCTAGGTAAAATGCCAATGCTTGCTGTAAGAGTCAATGGTTGCTTTGGAAAGTAAATGATTGCTATGAAAAAATAATTGCTCGACAAAAAGGCAATAGTTACAATAGAAGTTATTGGTTTCTATGAAAGAAATTAAACGCTATGGGAATTAGATGTTGCTATGGAAAATCAATGGTTGGTTTGGAAGTCATTGGTTGCTATATAAAATTTGAAATTTTTTCATCAACAAGGAATGGTGGCGCTAAATGATTAATCAATAGTTGCTATGGAAGTCAATGGTAGATTCACTGTTTGCATTGAAAGTCAAACATTTCTATGGAAGTCAATAGTTTCTAGATTAAAAGTCAATGCATGTTATGGAAGTCGCTGGTTGCTATGAAGTGTCAACGGCTGCTATTGAATGTCTTTGATCGCTATTGAGATTACACGTTGCTGAGGAAAATCAATGTCAAGTTGCAATGGAAGTCCGAGTTTCAATGTAAGTCAGTGGTGTCTATGGAAGTCACTTGTTTTCAAGAGAAACCACTTGTTGCTATGGATTAATTTGGATAGTCAAAGCTTGTTAAATCACAAGTTGTTAAGTAAATCAAGTAAATGCTTTGCAGTTCAATGGTTGTATTGGAAAGTCATGGTTGCTTGAAAGCGGTCCTACTAAACACTGCTAAGGACTGCTAAGGACCGCTAAGGACTGCTAAGGAGCCACAAAGGACTTCTAGGGAGGCACAAAGGACCTTAAAATACCTCCTATGACATTCTCAAAATATATGGTAGTATGTTTAGTGAAAAAAAGTATTATTTTAAGAAAAATATAATTTTGTTGATAAAATTTTCGATGAGTTGCCGGACCGCTAAGGACTGCTCAGGTGCACTAACAACTACTAGGGAGGCACAAATGACCTTAAAATCCCTCCTATAACATTCTTAAAATATATATTAGTAAGTAAATAGACAAAAATGTATTATTTTTTTTCAGAAAAAATATAATTTTTAAGATAGAATATATGTTTTCGATGAGTTGCTGTACCGCTAAGGACTGGTCAGGTGAACAAAGGACCTTAAAATATTTCTTAAGGGGCACAAAGGACTACCAGGGAGCCACACAGGACCTTAAAACCCTCCTAGGCATTCTTATAATATATGGTAGAATGTTTAGTGTAAAACAAGATTGCATTTGAGAAAAATGGTATGCCACCGCATTAATACAACACTAAATAGTAGTGTAGGAATAGACTGTTTTTGTTCCTATACAATTGAAGATTGTCATAATGCATAGATCCCTGACTTATCTAATTCTTTTTATCTGATAAGTGGTTAAATTTATTGTTAATCCAATAAAAGATCAGAGTAGGAATATATCAATGCACTTGAGTCTAGTGAATTTGGTGGTGAAGGTCATATTTCATACAGCCTAAATTTCATGACTACATCAAAGGACATCTTAATCTGTGCACATGGTTCAAATTTCATAGCTGTAGATCAAAGGACAAGGAAGTAGGTCACATCATCAAAATCTAGGTCACCTGATATCAAATTTCAATTTTACAACTAAAAATGTGCACGTGGTCAAAACTTCATTGCTGTACACCAAAGGACAAGAAAGTAGGTAACTGTCCGCTTGGGCAAGGCAACATTTTGACCCAAGGGTTTAATTTTAAAACAATCTTGATACAGGTCCATCAAACAACATTTCAAGTCAAATATCTAAGTTGTAGCTTTCTCCCATTAAGAAAACATTTTTTTATTTACTGTTTTTACTATTTGTACATAATGAGAATCATTGCCCCCGGGCAGGGCCAATTTTGACACCAGGTGAAAAATTTGAACAACAACTTTGGTAGAGGGCCTACAGATGATATTATATAGCAAACATCAAAGCTCTATGCCTTGTACCTTCAGACAAAACTATTTTTTTTTTACTATATGTACATAATGAAAATCAATGATTGGCGGAACCAATTTTGACCTCAGGGCTATAATTTGAACAATCTTGGTAGAGGTTCACTTCGCAAGGTCTCATGCCATGTAATTTACCTCTAGCCTTTGTCAATTCAGAGAAGAAGATTTTTCAAGTTTTTACTTTATACATATAAGGAAAACTATTGCCTCTGGGGCAGGGCAATTTTAACACTAGGGGCATAATTAAAGCAACTTTAGTAGCGGACCCATATATGATATTATATACCAAATATCAAAGCTCTAAACCTTGTACCTTGTACCTGTTTCCTTAAGAAACTCTTAAATGGTTGCTATAGAACGAAATAACTGCTATGAAATATAATTATTTCCAATGGTTGCAATTGAAAGTCTATGGTTGCTTGGAAAGTCACTACATGTAGGAAATCACTGGTTGCTAAGTAAAGTCAAAATTTGCTTCAGAAATCAATGGTTGCAACGAAAAGTCAATAGGTGCTATGGAATGTCAATGGCTTCTATGCTATGGAAGTCACTTGTTGTTTATGGTTGCTAAGGAAGCCAGCGGTTGCTATGGAAAGTAAATTGTTGTTATGGAAGTCATTGGTTGCTATGGAAGTTATGGGTTGATAAGTATTAAAATATCTAGGGTCAATTGGAAAGGCCAATAAACATTTTAGGAAAATCTATTCCCCTTGGGTTGGGGCAAGTGTAGACCCTGATTCCATAATTTGATCTTGCTAGAATTCACAAGTTCATGCCAGATACATAAGCTTTAGCCTCGATAGTTCATTATTTTAGTTTTAACTATAAAACTACTTATGGGTATGTTAAATCTGAGGGGATTGGTTTAATTGAGACCCTCAGAGCTATAATTTGAACAATCTTAAGAGGTTTACAAAACAATATTCATGCAAAATATCTAAGCTTTAGCCTTTAAGATTTTAGAGAATTAAATATTTATCCTGGTTTTACTATATACATATAAGGAAAATTTACCCCCCAACCCCCATAAAAAACACAAGAGGGCCATTATGACCCTGAAATTGCTCATCTGTACATAGGCCCTTGGGGCGGGGCTGATTTTAACCCAGGGGCTTTTTTTAACCAACTTGGTAGACCATTAGAAGATGCTTCATGATATTTTTAATATCTAAGCTCTAGCTCTTTGAGGTTTTTAAAAGTTTATATACCATAGACATATAAGGAAAACCAGGGCAGTGCCAATTTCACCATGAGGAATTTATTTGAACAATTTTGTAGACATTCACTAGAAGATGATTCATGCTTAATATCTAAGATCTACCTCTATGGGTTATTTAAAAGAGGATTTTTTACTATATACATATAAGGAAAATAAATGACCCCCGGGGGTGGGGCTAATTTTGACCCCAGGGCTTTTATTTGAACAAACTTGATAGACACTTACTAGAATATGTTTCATGCCACATATTTAAGCTGTAGCTCTTTCGGTTTAAAAAAAGAAAGATTTTTTAAGTTTTTACTAAAATGTCTTTATTTATATATAAGGAAAATCAATAACCACCGGGGCGGGGCCAATTTTGACCCCAGGGCTTTTATTTGAACAAATTTGATAGACACTCATCAAACAAAGTTTCATGCCAAATATTTAAGCGCTAGCTCTTTCGGTTTTTAAAAGAAGATTTTTAAAAGTTTTTACTAAAGACATATTAGGAAAATCAATGACCCCCGGGATGGGGCTAATTTTGACCCCACGGCTTTTATTTGAAAAAATTTGATAGACACTCACTAGAAGATGTATTATACCAAATATTTAAGCTCTAGCTCTTTCAGTTTTTTAAAATGAGGATTTTTGTAGTTTTCTATAGATATATGAGGAAAATCAATGACCCCCAACCCCCAGGGGCGGGCCAATCTTTATTCCAGGGCTTTTATTTTAACAAACTTGGTAGACACCTATCAGACAATGCTCCATGCCAATCATTTAAGCTCTAGCTCTTTTATTTTTTTTTAAAGAAGATTTTTTAAAAGTTTTTACTATATACATATAAGGAAAATCAATGACCCCAGGGGCGGGGCCAATTTTGACGCCAGGGCTTTAATTTGAACAAACTTGAGAGACACTCACTAGGAGATGTATTATGCCAAATATTTAACCTCTAGCTCTTTCGGTTTTTTAAAGACGATTTATTAAGTTTTTACTACATACATATAAGGAAAATTAATGAGCCCCTGGGGCGGGAC